CTCTCTCTCTCTCTCTCTCTCTCTCTCTCTCTCTCTCTCTCATGTATTCACGCACGCACGCACGTACAGAGAGAGAAAAATATATTGTAGTATAATCATTTAATCTTTAATTTCTTACACCTTTAATCTATTACTGCACTATATATACTATGTACTTACATATCTAAACTTAATGTACTGTAAATGTAGGTGACTTAGGACAGTATAAGTAACTTGGGATAGCATGTACTTTTGTTAAATTCAATCATGATATCCATCCATGAGTCACTAAAGAAAATTTAAAATTTAAACTTTTTTTAAAGACTCGTGGATGGATATCACAATTAAATTTAATAAAACTACACGCTGTCACTTATATTTATGGTAATATACTAGCAAGTATTACAGAATTCCCTAATTTCATTATCTGCTTTGTATGGACTCGATTAAATTTCCTTTTATATAATCTTCACTAATCTTCTTTCATTTTATATAATAACTGGGCATGTATTTTTCATATAACAGTTTTCTATCGCGTTAATGCTGACCAGCAAAATATATTTTATTATGTACAAATGTGATAAAACAAATTGTTACGGAGCATTATTGGTTTTAACGATATTTTATTGATGTCTTTCATAGTACTTTGTAACTGTAGAATATAATTGCATTATATAAAAGAGATATGTAATTCTATTATTTTTATCCCATTATTTTTCTCAATATAATTTAAATGTAATTTTATGAAATTTAATTTAGTAAACTTTACAATTAAGAAAGCAAGTAGGAAAAACAGGACAAAGTATGCAATTATGAATTGGCTTATAGGATAAAGTGGATGAATCCGAGAGCATGCATAAATGAGGCATATACTCCTACATCCATCGAACATATGGCAAATGTGGCAACTCACGGAATATGGGTTGTACCTTCGGTAATTGGCGGTATCGAGCTTATACGCCGTTCGTCAACATGGGCTCAGTTTGTTTCAGCTTGCGTATACGGCACTTCCTTGATCCTTATCTTTGCAGTATCGACTTTCTTCCACAGTGTGCACTATTGCAATCATAACAGGTACAATTATTTAATCGTAGTTTTTTATCCGTTAATTCTTATTTCTTTCAAATTCTTTGAGATACGTAAAATGATAAACAAGAAATTCATCGCGCATAATATTTTAGACAACTAAAAGATGCGTTGCATCGTTGCGATCGTGCTATGATTTACATCTTCATAGCAGCCAGTTACTTTCCATGGTTAAATATAGAACACTTCTCAGACGATGAGCTTTTGTTCGCGATGCGTTATGTCGTTTGGATCATGGCTGTAATGGGTATCCTCTATCAGCAGATCTTTCACGAGAGATACAAGATGCTCGAAACTATTTTCTACATGGTTATGGGTATTGGACCTAGCGTCGCAATCCTTAATGTTGTAAGTAAAGTAACATTGTATTCAGATTGCTTATAATTGTTTCAATTTCATTTTAGAAGAGAATGAACACGAGAAACATTTTGCTCAAGCATATATATTTTATACTACATTTCATATGATTTAAAATAATCTTATCTTAATAATATCTCAATTAATTTACAATAAATATTTTTACAGTATAATTATTACAATATTACGGAATTGAAACTGGGTGGGCTGATGTATGTTCTTGGCTTAGTATTTTTCAAATCGGATGGTCGTATACCTTGCGCGCACGCAATTTGGCATCTTTTCGTAGCTGCGGCAGCTGGATTTCATTATTACGCGATTCTGAACCATGTATTTCCTGAAACAGACTCGACGAATATTCTTGGACCTGCCGGCAGCATGCCACAATTATCTAATATACTAAAGCCTCATATAGAATTGTAAGAGTTGTATACTGTTTTCTACAGTGTTTCTTCCAAATGTTAAATATTCTAAAATATAGCAGTTTTATAAAGGGTACTTTATGGTAGAGGAATATCATTTAATTTATGTATATGCCTATATATTATGTATTTTCAGACTTTTTGATAAGAACAAATTTATTTTTTAATCGTGATTTGCGTATGTGCTGGTCTACTAACTAGACGTCTTCTCGTAATTATTTCAAATATCTCTCTCAGTAAATAGAAATCGTGTATATATAATGTATAAACGCAATAAGCGCTATGAAAAAGCGTAGTGAATTAAATGGTATGTATTAAAACGAATGAAAAAGGAAGATTTTTAAGTACCTGACGGCCATATAAGACTTCATTCATATATTATGAATGTGTTACATATTAAAAATAAGACAAAAAATATGATATTACATTAACAGATATTAATATAACGCAGTTGTATTGCTAATTACATGACGAGTTCGAATATACATCTATAGCGAATATTGTATTATTCATATTCCATTTAGTATCAGATTTAATGTTTCGACATCACTCGTGAATAATTATTAAGTAAGAAAGAAAATTTTATCATGCCTGCACTTTTTCAAATACAGATGGAATATTTTTTGGGAAAAACATTATTTTGTTTTATATTATATAAGTTTGATAAAGTAAACTTCTATATTAAGTAGTAAATTTCTATATTAGAATCTTTACAAAGTATAAATGCCAAGTTTTACCTTAGCGATGAATGGAAATCAAGTTGACTGAATACATATGTTTACTTTCTGCTAGAAGTGTCTTTCTATTTGCAGATATATTGTGCCAAAATTAAATTAAACTCGTATATGTCCTACCTTAGAATATTTTCAATGAACTATTGACGTTTCTTTAAGGAAAAACAAATGAATGTATTATTTGAATCATACTTGTTTCGCTAAAATTTTGATAGAAACTCAAAAAAAAAAAAAGGAAAAATGTTGTATAGTATACTTTGCTGAAATTATAGAGCATTTTTTGAAATATAGTATGTTGAGCAAATGGCCTTATTTGTATTATTACTAGATATGATATATAATTGAACGAAATTATATAGGTTTATATAACAACTATGGTACTTGTTGTTACAGTTAAATTATGTTTATATCGAAACGATCTAATTTGTACTTCCATATATATGTATATTAATTATATATTGAAATTAGTATATATAGTAATAGACAATATTTATATGTATACTTACGTATTTATTGTGTGTGTGTCATGTATATATATGTATATAAACAAACAAAATTTTCTTCTGAAATTTGCTCGCAAATGCTTTATTTAAGAGATATTGACCTCTTAAGTTATTGAACTATAGGAATGAATAATATCGAAATATCTCTTATTTTGTTTTGCTCTGAAGCAAAAAATGTACCAAGTGTCCGCTAATGAACTTCAATCATTAAAACAGAAGATAATGGATGCGAAGAAATTGCAGACGCACAATGTCACTCATTCTTTTTTTGATAAAAGAGACACAATGCTTGTCTCTTATGGCTTGAAGCCATCATTTTGAACAAAACATTTATTAATTACAATTTGATTATTGTAAGGCAATGAAAGGGGAATACATAGATTATTTCGACATTATTTATCCCTTTGTTCTGTAACTTAAGAAATCAATAGTTCTTAAACGAAATGTTTGTGAGTAAATTTCCAGAGGAAACTTTTATTTATTTTGAGATCGTAAATTCGTTTTTTAAGTTTGATAGTTTAACTCGGGAACCCTTTGCGCACACACACGTACGTACGTAGGTATGTATAGAATGTACAGTACTGACAATGTGAAATATTACGAAAGTCTTGATGTAATAAGAATATTAATTTGCGATGTATATATGTGCCGTGATATTGCAAGGAGCAAAGTACAAAATGATTATCAGTTCCAAGTTATTCGCTGTCTATTTTTGTTGTATACTTCGTGGACCAAAGTATCGTGGAGGAATATGTAACATTGCTGTTGTCGAGTATATACATACACGTGTGTGTGTATGCGCGCACGCGATCTACACGCGCGCGCGCGCGCACACACACACACACACACACACACACACACACACACATACACACACTTCTTGACAATGAGTGTAATACTTAATTAGAAATAAAACATTATATATTGGTCAAAAATTATTTCTTAACAAACCTTACTTTTTATCATAGTAGAAATAGTAACAGTGCGCGCGCATGTATTATATAATCATTACTAGTATAACTTTACTTAGTATAATATAAAATTACATATAGGGGCGCATCTATTCTAGTCTTCAGAAGAGTTTCCATAGTGATAGCAGCAAACAAAGCGAGAATCGAACGAGCCGACAATGGATAAGAATTTCTGACCAGTTATTATCGGTCTTAAACAATAAGTTGAGTAATCTGGAATCTGTGTAACGCGTATAATCATGAAAATTAATATGTGTATGTTTTTGAAAAATGAAAAATTGCAATTGAAATTTTTTCGATAAAATAATAAATAGATTACCTGTGTGATTCAATTTGGTGAGTCATTATTATCATCATAAAAGTAACGTATACGACGGTACTAGTAGTGAAACAAGAAAATAAATAAGTATGGATAATGTTACGTATGATAAGATGGAGAATAAAACTGCATCTTTGGCTGCCAACGCGCTTAAAATGCCATCGTGGTTGGTGGAGATGACCGAGTATGTAACATTTTTTCGCACGTTATTACTTTTCACCTTTTTAAGAATAAATATGGCATTGTTTCCTACTTTTTTTTATTTTCACTTTTTATCCTTTATATCAGCAATGTAGAGAGGATTAATACGAGTTACGATGCCAAATCACTAAAAATGGAAACACGTGTTTTAATCGATGATCAGCATCATTTAAAAAATATCACCTTCAAGAAGGAAGATGAAGATACGTAAGATATCTATATATATTTTTTGGCAATAGCTCATTTTTTCAAGAATATTGATATAACGTTATAAAGCGATATTTTGCTTTGGCATTTTTATAGAAACAATCAACCTAATAGCTATCAATCAAACTTAAGCCATCTTTATATTGATGCTAATATTAAATTACAAACACCATGCACGAGCAAATCACTGCCGAATACACCAAAGAGCGAACAAGTACAAGTTAAACGAAGAACACGCGCTTGTTCTGCCATTGTGAATGCAAAGCATCGTACGAAGAATGATTTTCATGGTTTGGATGCATACTTGGAAAGAAAACAGATGGAAAAACATGGGATATATTTGACATTTGGAAATTATAACAACGATAAAACTGGCAATGAGGATCAATCTTACTCTGAACATCGAATATCAAATGTTCCAAATCGTGCAGATACACGATTACATTCGTCAGATGACAATTATCTTAACGATTCCACATTTAGTACACAGAATGAAGAAAATTCGAAATTATTATCTGGTCAATATCGTGAAATCTTTAAATCTCTCCGCTTTATTTAAAAACAATTTTGTTAAATCATTTGTTATTTTCTTCCAGCTTTTTCAAATAGCTGGTTGATGTCCTGCACCTTGTTGAAAGCTTACACATACATCTTACACATGCATATGATAGAAATATAGAATATTAACGCGTTGTCTGCCCAGCGAGCTTTTACGTCTTATAATTCTTACTGTACATTAAAGAAAAGGAATTCTCATTATTATAAGCATATATTATATAATGATGAAATATCGTCTAATACGAATAAGTAGACAGTAGTGCATATCCCGGCCGGTATATTATCAATGAGAGAGTATTATGTTGAATAGCGCATTTTTTACTTTACATTTATTTTTTAATATAATTTTTTGCGTTACTTAAAATTTTGTATTGGGTAATATCTTTACTTTTGCAAGATTTAAATTAAAGCTTTAAAAGATTTCGAGATAAATTTCGACCGATCAGTACAATAGTACGACTAGCATGGCAATCAACGTGTTGCATTATTCTGCATCTTTGTAATATGCACATACGAATTAAATATAATTTAGTTTATATATCATTTTTAGATAAACTATACAGAAATTTTATTATTCCTGAATTACCATCCGGAGACTCGTTGGTCATTGATATTATTTCTACCTGGGGCGACAAACATTACGTAGGCCTCAATGGTATTGAAATATTTTCAAATACCGGAGAACCAGCGAGAATAAAAGAGATACGTGCACATACGACAAGCGTTAATCAATCATTGAACAACGATCATAATCCTTATACAATAAATAATTTAATTAATGGTATCAATCGAACAAGAGACGATGCAAATTTATGGCTAACACCTTATTCAAATGGTGACCATCATTATGTTTACATGATATTTGAATTCACGATTACTATAGCGATGATCAGAATATGGGTAGGATTTCTTATTTTACGACAATCATAAAAAAATTATCTATAAATACGTAGAAGTACAAGTATATATGCAGCACGCGTGTGCGTCGCGGCAGGTGTAAAAATATACTTGAACTGAAATTACTTCCTTTTCTTCTTTCAGAATTACAATAAATCTAGAATACATTCCTTTCGAGGAGCCAAAGATGTTATTATTAAATTGAACGATATTATCATTTTTTACGGAGAAATCGCTAAAGCTTCAGGAGATGATATGGGTAGCCTTGATTCTTTTGGAGATGTAAGAAGTCTTATGAAAGTTTTCGTTACAGAAATATTAACGACACGTAGAGTGATCTATTATATACATATAATATAAATTAATTACACTTAATTATTCTTAAATCTCACACGCACGCGCGCGCACGCACGCACGCACGCACACATACATATATATAATATAAATTTGAATGAAATCAATTTTATATGTAATGCATAAAAATATTGACTGATGTAGACTATATTATTTACGACGGACGAAAATATTCTGGAATTGATATCAAAACATGATAATACATTCATAGAATTCAATAATGGGACATCAGATTGTGAAGAGAAAGAAATAATTCGCCCAATAACGGCAACGATGACCAATGACCAAGTAAGAGAGCAGCTAATTATTGTATCGATATTTTCATTTAATAATGGTAATAACGATATGTATAACGTAATACACCGCACGTGTTAATAAAATAGATAAAAATAAGATAGATACAATAATAGTAATCTCTTTTTAGATTGCTTCGGCGAGACGTAATAATAGCGATGATTCTATTGAAAATTCTCCCAACGCGTATACCAATAGCAAAATTCGCAATACCACTCTTACCCCTCTATCTTGTCGAGAGATTCAATTAATTATCCTTTCTAATTGGGGTTTACAGCATTTGGTTGGTAGGTATAGCGTAAATCACATAAATTAATTATTGACACAAGTCAAACTGCAGCGTTATATAATAATATAATCTGCGACATGTATTTGAATCTTTCTTTCGGGTTTTCTTGTTATAGGCCTCACCGGTATAGAATTAATCGGGGATCAAGGTGTAGCAGTCCCGTTAGTAAATGCCAATTTGCATTGTA